AGGGGCAGCTTCACTGTCTCAGAGAGCCCAACAGGCCTCCATCCGTGTCATCGTGGAGATGGAATGAAAGTCAGGAATGATGAACTCCAGTCTGAATAAACCTGGCAGCTAGTACCCACGCAGGTTGGTGTTAGGTCCTCCTTCCGAATAAGCTCATTCGAGTTTTCCTGTTTGTAGTTTCTGTCCTATCAGTACATGTTCGCAGCACATAATGACTGCGTTCCACATGGGAGCTGCCACCTGCACATAACACACCTTGACTCTTTTCACGTCACCTCCCTGTCTTTTCCCCTCTCTCATCTCCTGCATCTCCTGGTCCTCTTCCCATTTGAAAAAGATCTGCCTCTCTTTTTCATATTATCTGATTTTTACCGTACTCTTTATTATACTTTGGGTTTGTCCTATAAGAGAAACGATGAGATATTTAAAACGTGTGATTCTGATTTATTTCACTTACCATTACAGTCTCGAAGTGCACTCATTTTCCCACAAATGACTCACGTGACCTTCCTTATGGCAGAGTAGTGCTCCACAGTGTGAAAATAGCACATTTTCTTTGTTGGTCCATCCATTGATGGACGTATGGTCCACTTCCAAGACTTAGTTGTTATGTGTTGTGCTGCTGTAAACGGATGTGTGTGGATCACGTAACATGGTGTCTTTAGCTCAGAAAAACACCTGCCAGGGGAGCACCTGGATCAGATGGAAGTTCTAGTTCTAGTTTTTGGAGGAATCTCCATACTGATTTCCATAGTGACTGCAGCAGCTTACACTCCCAGCAGCAGTGTAAGAGAGTCCTTTTCCTCAGACCCTCTCCACCATTTGTGATTATTTGATTTCTTGATGATACTCATTCTTCCAAGATAAGATAGTCTCTGTGTTGATTTAATTTGCATTTTTCTAATAACCAGTGATACTGAATATTTCTCATGTATTTGCTAGTCATTTGTACATCTTCTGATAAATCTGTCATCATCTCAGTTGCCCTCTTTTATTGAGTTATTTTATTTTGGAGCATTTAATCCTCTTGAGTTATTTATACATCCTTGATACTAGTCCTCTGTCTGAGGAGTAGCTGGTAAAATTCTTTCCCTGTAAGCTGTAAGCTGTCTCTTTTCTCTGTAAGCTGTCTCTTCCCTCTACCAGCTGTTTCCTTTCCTTTTAATTTTGTATGATCCCATTTGTTGTACAATTGAGGTCCTGTTCAGAAAGTCCTTGCTGACGCTTATGATGTCAACAGTTTTGCCTTCTTTTTCTTCCAGCAGATTAACTATATCAGTCATGATATTTAAGTCTTTGATCCACTTTTATTTTAACTCAGTACATGGTGATATTTATGAGTCTAGCTTCAGTCTTCTGCATGAGCATAGTTTCCAAAACACCATCTGCTCAGGAAGACATCTTCCTTCCAGTGTGTGCTTTGGCCCCTTATCAAAGATCAGATAACTGAGTGTGTGAGGCTGTTTCTGCAACTTCAGTTCTGTTTCTCTGGCCCAAATGTCTGTTTTTGTGCCAGTGCCATCCTGTTTTTATCACTGTAGCTTTGTGATACAACTTGGAATCTGGGGTTGTGATGTCTCCTGCTTTGCTCTTCTTGCCCAGGATTGCTTTTTGTATTCTGAGTCCCTTCTGGTTCCACATGAATTTTAGAATTATTTTCTCTAGTTCTGTGAGGAACCCTGTTAGTATTTTGATTGGAGTGGCATTAAATCTATATATCAGTTATAGAAGTATGGCCATTTGGACAATCTTGGTTCTGCCCATCCAGGAACACAGATGTCTATTTTCTGATGACCTCCTCAATTTCCTTTTTCAGAGTACTGTAGTTTTCAATGTAGAGGTCTTTCGCTTCCCTGTTTAGATTAATTCCTAAATACTTAATTTTTTCTGATACTGTTGTAAATTGTATTGCTTTCTTAATTTGTTTTCCAAGGGGTTCATTATTGCTGTACAAGAATGCTAGTGATTTTTTTGTGTCGGTTTTTGTATCCTGTTTCATTGCTGAATTTGGTTGTTAATTCTAGAAGTTTTTTGGTAGAAATTTCTGCCCCTCCTGTGTAAAGGATCATGTCATCTTCAAATAGTAAGTCAATTTCTTCTTTTCCTATATGCATCTTTTTTATATCTTTCTCTTGCCTGATTGTTCCGGCTGATATTTGAAGAATCATTGATTGGGTGTGGTGATAGTAGACATCTTTGTCTTATTCCTGATTTTAAGGGAAATCTTTCATTCTTTTCCCATTTAATATGATTTTGTAAATGTATCATAAATGGCTTTTATCAGATTGAGATAAAATTCTTCTATACCTATTTTCTTCAGTGCTTTTATCATGAAAGAATGTTGGCTTTTTATCAAAGGCTTTTTCTGCCTCTACTGAGGTGATCATGTGACTTCTTTCCCTGCTTCTGTTTATGTGATGTATTGCATTATTGGTTTGAACATGTGGAACTGTCTTTGCATTCCTGGGATAAAGCCTCCTTGATCATGAAGTAAGATCTTTTTGATGATGTGTTGCATTCTGCCTGCCAGTATCTTTTGAGGATTTTTGCATCTATGTTCATTGAATAGATTTCCATCCTCTTCTTTAGTTTGTTTTTTTGTTTTTGTTTTTGGTCTGGCTTTAGAACCAGGCTAATGCTAGCTTCCAAGAAAAGTTTGCAAATATTCCTTCCCTTTCATGTTCATTAAAGTATTTGAAGAATATTGGCTTTATATCCTTCCTAAAGCTCTTATGGAAATCAGTGGTGAATCCATCAGGTCTTGAGATTCTCTTATTATTATCATTTTTACTGCCTCAATTTCATTGCTTGTTATTGGATTAGTCTAAGTTTTTATGGCTTTATGATTCAATCTTGGTAATTCATATGCATCTAGAGATCTTCAAAATTCTCCAATTTTTTTGGAGTACAATTTTTTATAATTGCTAATGATCTTCTGGATTTCAGAGGCATCAGTTGTAATTTCCCCTTTATTTCTAATTACATTGAAACAGGTCTTTTTGTTTCACCTTTCAGTAAGTTTAGATAAGGTTTTGTCTACTTTATTTTTTGAAAGAAGCAGTTCTTTAATTCATTGGTGCTTTATGTTTTTGTCTTTGGTCTTGATTTGTTCATTTATGCTCTGATCCTTATAATTTCCTTCTTTTGTTTGGATTTGTGCTGCTCTTGTTTTCCTAGTATCTTGAGGTGCACCATTAAGTTATTTACTGCTCTGTTTTTCTAACGTGAACTTCCTTCTCTGGACTGATTTTATTATGTCCCTTCTGATACATTGTGCTGGCATCATTATTTGATTCTAGAAATTGTTCCATTTCTGCTTGATTTCTTCTGTCATTTATTCAGTGTTCAGGAGTGTGTTATTTAATGTTTAGGTGTTTGTATAATTTCTGTAATTTCTTTTGCAGTTGATTCTTAGTTTCATTTTGTTGTGATTTGATAGTATACATAGGCTGATTTAAATTCTTTCATATTTCTATAACCAGGCTTTATGAATTAATATGTGGCCTGTTTTTGAGAAAGTTCCATTTAGTGTTGAGACGAATATTATTCTGTTGTAATAGGGGAGAACCCTCTGTAGATATCTATTGAGTCCATTTGTTTGAAGGTATGGTTCAGCTCTTTTTTTTTGGGTTTTTTTACCTGTCTATTTGTGAAAGTGAAATATTGAGGTTACTCACTCTGATTGCATCAGTGTTTACTTGATCTTTCTGTATTCATTTTTATGACCTTGGTATGCCAGTATTCAGTGCATGTTTATCTTCAATTGTTATCTCTTCCTGTTGAATTATACTTTTAACCAACATGCAGTGACCTTATTTGCCTCTTCTAATCAGTTTTAGCTTTAAATTTACTTAGGCTAAGAATAAAATTGCTCCCCCTGCTTGCTTTCAGCACCTTGGTAAATCAGATACTGTTTTCCATCCTTTGATTTTTAGTCTCTAAATTTCTTTTTGCATTAATGAGTCTCTTGAATGCTACAGACAATTGAGTTTTGGCTTTTTATCCAGTTTGCCAATCTATGTCTTTCAACTGGGAAACTGAAGCAATTTATAGAAAGTGCTACTACAAAAGATACTGACTTATTTCTGTCATTGTGTTCTTTTTCTGCTGTTGATTCCTTTATTTGTCTTCTCTCATGACACCTGCCTTGAAGTCAGCTGACCATGCACTGAAACTGCTATAAAGGATGAGCCAAAATAAATCTCCTCTCCTTTGAGTCACAGGTGCCAGGTTAACAGTGATGAGGAAAATGACTAAGACAACCATCCTCTCCCAAGATGGTGTATACAAGTCTAGGTGGGAGCAGGGTGCTACAATCCAGAATCACACATCCTCCACACAATGAGTTTTGGTCTAGCTAGGTGCTCTTTTCATTTATCCTCCCATAGCAGACTTTATGTTTTTCTATCACCTCATAATACCTGCTTTTCCCCAGTGCCAATTCAAAGACACTCACCCCTAAAGTCACCCCTGGGCAGCCATCTTCTTGGATTTCAACCACTACATGTTTGGAGGACCTCTCAGGTTCTGCTCACCCTCTCTTCCTTGGGATGGGACTTGTGGACCATAGTTCTTAGAAGGAAACTTTGTGCCTGGTTCTTCATCCAGCTCCACTCTTCTTATCTGGTCATCTCATAGTACAGGGCTAGTACAGTGTTGATCTGACCTGGGAATCTAGACTGGTTCCCTTGGATGCTTCCAGGGCTTGTAGTCCACTGAGACCACAGCCTCATCTTTCCCCACCTCAGTGGTTTGTTCATGAGGTGTACATTACACTGTGCCTCTTCAGATCCCGAGCAGGACAAGAGATGTTTGAATGTCCACCCTTCAGGAAGAAGGGGATGGTGAAGATGCTTTTGTGTAAGGAGTTTTGAAGTGCTTAGAATTGGAATTTGGAAATGTATTGACCTTGTCTGTCTTTTACGGGATAGTGGACCCAAAGCCAAAATTTGGAATGCTCAAGGGGAATCAGAGAGGCAAAAAAAGCACAGTAGCCCATATTTCCTGACACAACACTTTAATGGTTATAGTCATTGATCTTTGTTACATCCAACTCAACAAACTTTCTGAGAAAGTGACCCAGAGATCCACAGTCCACACTGTGGACAAGTTAGCTTTTCTCAGAAAAAGAAGGGAATGGGTGATACATTCAGACTCCTTTCAAGTAGCAGCTATGTGGACCCAAAGCAACATGATGGCCCAAAGCAGCATGCAGTGCTGTCAAGAGTTAGCTGTCAAGAGTTGGCTGTCAAGAGTTGGCAGTCCTGCTCAGGAGCAGGCCCATAGGAACAGGGCACTGATCCCATCAGCAGCAGGACTTCTGGCCCAAGGAGAGGCCACAGCAGGAGGGGCGGGGGCAGGCGGAACGGCACAGCAGGGACACGCAGGAGGATGGGTGGCAGCAGCTGGGCTGGCAGGACGAGGTGCAGCAGGAGGAGGAGGGCAGGCAGCAGGTGGGTCTGCACACGGGGCGGCAGAGCAGGGACACAGAGGAGCAGGAGGGCGTGCAGCAGCTGGGCACGCAGCAGGCTGGCTGGCAGGGGGAGCAGGAGAAGCAGGTAGGCTGGCAGCAGGAGGAGGAGGCACCAGAGCAGACGGGTGTGCAACAGACAGGCTTATAGCACACAGGTGTGCAACACACAGGCTTGCAACAGACAGGTGTGCAGCAGGTGGGTACACAGGAGGATGGCTGGCAGGACGAGGAGCAGCAGGCTGGCTGGCAGCTCGACTGCTGGCAGCACACAGGTGTGCAGGAGGTGGTGCAGCCTGACTGGCAGCATGGTCTGGACACACAGCTCACTGGGGTGCAGATGAGTGTCAGGCAGGGGTCTGGGGCACAGCAATTGGTCTCACAACAACTGGGCTGGCAGCAGCTGGAGGTGCAGCAGGAGGGCTCACAGCAGCTCTCTGGGCAGTCGTCCACCTGCCAGGAATCAGAGCAAGACTCACAGGAGCCAGGCAGGCAGACCCGGCTGTCATAGCTCAGGTCACTGGAACAGATGGACATTGTGGAGGCAGTCATGTTGGTGTTGTGCTGCAGGAGGGTGTGAGTGTGTGTGACAGCTGTGGGGCTCTCAGGCTTTTATATTCCTCCTGCCCTGTGTTGTCCCAAGAAAAGGCTGACCAATCCGCCCCTTCCTGTTGATGTGCAGAGCTGACCGCTGAGGTCCCTCGTTAGTGCTGGGTATTAGTGTTGTATGTGTGGTGTAGGGCTCTCTTTCCTCTTATTTTGATTCTGCTGTTGTTTTGTTTTCTCTGCTTTTATCTTGGCTCTGGAAAAGTTACAGTGAATTTTGTGGGGCACACTTCTGCTGAGTTGAAATGTTAGAGGCGAACAATTCTCTCTCTACCAATCCTGTGTTTGGATTACATTTTTATTGCTTTAAACATTTTAAAATCTAAATGTGGAGAAAAATTCCCAATATTACTGGCACCAAGGACTGGATAACAAGGTCTCTGATCCATGTCAGCTGGGCCTGGTGAAGGAGGGGTCAGGGATCCAACTCCTGGAGGAGCAGTGGTTTCTCTTTTTCAGCTCTCCATTCCCCCGTGAGGTGGTCAGGGACTCCCTTTAATATTTCCTATTTTCATTTTGCCATCCTGAGAGCTCAAGGAATTTTTGTGTACATGGTGGTGTGTTTTACATTTCAAGGTGCCCTTATGTATGAAAATATGGATGCCACTCTCACGTTTGGGTGACAGTTAGCCTGGGTATAGAAGTCTAGTTTTAGACATTTCCTCAAAACAGTGAAGATATAGATCTTCTCTCTCTGTGTGTCTCTCTCTGTATCTCTCTCTCTCTCTCTCTCTCTCTCTCTCTCTCTCTCTCTGTGGTATCTGTGTGTGTTTATCTAGTATCTTATGTTTTCAGTGACAGTTCAGTATTTGTCATTTCTTTGTGCCTGTTTTTCAACTCTTTGGGGAATATTTGGCTTTCTTTCTTCATCCTTGTTCAAAAGTATCATTTATTTGTTTCTAGAATTGTGTGTTATTGGGCTGGGGAATTAGCTCAGCAGCATAAGTGCCTGCCGAGCAAGTACAAGGTCATGAGATCTATCCCTGGTACCAAAAGATAAAAGAGAAAAACAAAGAATTGTGTGTTATTAATACTGTTCCTTGTTTAGACCTAATTGGACCTTTCCATATGGAGACGCATCTCAGGAAATACCTTATGGTGCACTACAAATAACTTCCTTTTTCCTGGCTCTTCTTGTGACTCTAGACACCAGAGCTTCTGGATCTAGTTTTCTTTTTCCTTTTTTTTTTTTTCTCTTAAATAAGATAAAACCAAGGAAATAAAACAGAATAAAACCAATCAAAATAAACTAGTATAAGTGATAAGGGACTTCAAAACCTGTTATCATCTGGTTACCATAATTCTTTTTGTTGTTTTCAAAATAGCTGCAGCTACCTGTAGACGTAGTAAAAATTGAACAGAGTAAAGTAGAAAAAATACAAACAAAACAATGAGTTGCAGTAAAGGATTTCAAAATAAGCTAATAGTAAATACAAAATGGGTACTATAATATGTCTTGCTATCTTTTAAATAGCTGTTCATGCCGTCAGATTTAACATAATTGAACAAAACAAAAGAGAATAAAACCCAACCCAAGAAAACAATGAAATGATCTGGTTTCCAGGCGGGGACCACCTCCTTGTGAGGCCTGGTTCTCTCTCTCTCTCTCTCTCTCTCTGCAGCCTGGGAACGGTCCTGACTCACCAGGAGGGGGTTGGGTCTGGCTGTTCCCACTGCACAGCGGCCCTTGCATGGCACTGGTTTCCAGGTGGGGGGGAGGGGGACCTGGTTTTCATACTTTTTAATTCTTCCCTTGTTTTCCTCATGTTTATCCTTTGCTCTGCTCTCCAGGAGGTTGTCTTGATCTTATTTTTAAGACCGTCTCCCGATCATTAGTCATTTTCACGCTGTTATTTGGCCCATACCTTGACATATTTGTTGGTAATCTTTTAATTTTCCTAAATTATTTCCGATTTCTTATAACAGCTTGAGTTGGCCTTGTGATAGGATGGTGTATGTTCTCCACTAATGCCAATGATATTTCTTGATGTTTTAAAAGTTCTTCCCCATTTTTTAAGCCATTTTGTTCCACGGGACATTAGATAAGGGCAGCTTGCCATTTTTCTGAACAAAAGATGTATTATTTTGTTCTTGTGTCTTGGGGTCCTCCTCCCCCAGTCTCTTCATCTATTTCTCTATTCTATGACACAGAAAGGGTCCTGCTGGGCTTGTCTGTATACAATTTCAATTTTATCTTTCTTCTAACCCTTTAAACATCCTCTCCATGGACGTTAGTGGTGAACCAGGAGCTGAGTCCACCTTCTGGAACTGAGGAATTCAGTGTCACCTTGAGGAAAGCCAGAGATCCCGGATGCACACTGTCAGTTGCTCTCTTGTTGCTCAGCCCTGTCAGCCCAGTGTGGCCTCTTCTTAAATCAGCCCAATCATGCAAGGTGGGCAACACTGAGGGACAGATAATCCGTGAAACCCGAGAACCCACAGAGGCTGGCTGGTTTCTCCTGTGGCCATGCTCACTTCACCCTATTTTTACCTAATTCCCCTAAGCAGTCTCCTGGGAAGGCCTTGCACGGGGTGCAAGCCACTTGGAAGCCTCTTGGTTTCTAGATCAAGCTCTGGAGCACACTGAGGTCTCTAGATCCATTCAGTCCAAGGCTGCCCACCTCCAGGGCCTCCCACTCCTCATCTACCTTTCCATTTCTCTGTACTTCTGTCTCCTTGGATGTGGTCTGTTGGTCACTGTCCAAAGTGTCCTCCTGTCCCCTTCTCTTGACCCACAGCCCTTTGAGGTTCAGCTCATTGACCACACCTGGCTCACCTTTCTGGGGACAGGCTTCTGCATGGGGACTTTTTGGGGCCAGTGGGCAGGGCCTGTGGAGATGCAGGGGATCATCACTAGATGTCACTAGCTGGGCATCTGAGTGAGGGGAGACTTAGCAACTAGCTGGCACTGGCTGGGCAGGTGCCATAGCCCAGGTCACAATGGCAGAGACTGGACACTGTAAGGCAGACACCATGTTACCACACAGGACGTGAACAGGTAGATTTCCTCTGTATTTCACTCCCACATCCCCAGCCATGTGCCCAAGCTCAAGATAGGCTTGTTTCTGAGGCCAGGGAAGGCACTTTCATGGTGATCACTGGCCACCAAGCAGGCACCAACTGGCTGGATGCAGGCATGGTCTTATTCTCACAGGGTCTGCCTCCACCTGACCAAGTGATCCAACCCGCGGATCAATCTGTGGGCCTCGTCTGGAGAGAGAATGGGGATAGGGGTCTGGGCAAGAGGAGAGAGAGATGGAGACAAGTTGAGCAGTTCCAATCAAGTCTCGTTTATTAAAGAAGTGTTTAAAGCCTATATAGACTCTGAGGGGACGTGGCACTGTTGGATAGGTGAGCTTGGATTTCCTCATATGCCACGGACCTATCGAACTATCAGGAAATACGTGAATGATCATGAAGCAAAAGCAGTAGAGAGCTACGTTGTATATACGTTGATGGGCAGAAGAGCCGGGGCCAGGGGAAGGGGTGCACAGGATGTGACATAAGTAAAGGAGGATCATGGGAAATGTAGGCTGACACACTGGAAGCCCTCAGGAGGGCGGGATGTGGTAGAAGCCGTGGGGTGGCTATGCCACTCCCTACATCTCCTCCCTTTATATATATATATATATATATATATATATATATATATGGCAGGCCCTGTGAGGACAGCGCCTGTCTTAGGTCAAGGACTCTTCATATGAACTCAACCAGGCCTTACCCATCATGGGCCCGCAGGACAGCAGTTGGTCCTGTGCCTGTCTTAGGTGGCTGGTGGAGTAACATATGTGTCCTAGTTGCCCGTCTCTGGCTACCTGTCCAGTGCCTCAGGGAATCTGGCCGTCATCATCATGTGGGCCATTTGTGGGGATCATTTCCTGATAAGTTTGTCGATCTGCCATTTCCAGTTGATGATAGTGTACCTGAATGGGCTTTGCCATAAATTTGTCTAGCCTATTGTTAACGAGCGTCATGATCCTCTGGAAAATGCAAGGACCTACAGTTAGGAGTAGCAATAAGGCAGCAAGGGGTCCCAAGAGGGGGGCAATATAGGGGGAAAAGCCTCCCCACGTAGATGAAAAAGGGGGTTCTTGTGGATAGTTTTGTTTTTCTCTATTTTTGATGTGTTCTCTCAACTTTGCCATGGAGTCTTTGATGATGCCCGAATGATCAGTGTAGAAACAGCACATAGTCCTCCATCCTTTAAAAATAAAAGATCTAATCCCCATCTGTTTTGTAAAACCACTTCAGACAAGGAGGTTAAGGACTCCTGTAAAGCTGTTATAGAAGCTTCTATTTCTTTTAAGTCTTTATTTACTGCAGCCTGTAACTGATGAAAGTGTTGCTGTCCTGTGACCAGTGCCACAGTTCCTGTCCCCACACCTGCTGTAATGCCAACCCCCAAAAGTATGGCTAAGGTTAATGATGCTGGTTCTCACTTAAACCTATAGCCTGTTTGGGAGGTCTGAAAAGGATAATAATCTGGGTGATATACAATGTGGGGAAAAACATTTACAAGGATATAATAATCAGCAGAAACATTAAAGACATCGGCCACCATACAGGGAGTGAGACCAGTATTACAGGCCCAAAATGTCCCATGGGGTGGAATGAGATATTTACCTTTTTCAAAATTTTTATGGAAATTGGCACATAGGGACCTGTATACAGGGGGCCAATTTTTGTGTTCACCAAGGCAGGTTCCTGTTCTGGAGACATTGGGAAGGGTTATTTTATAGGATTGGCCCCATGGACATTGGCTTGAATCATAGGAAGTATGAAAGGATGCATTGAGTGCTCTCCCTTCATAGTATGGAGGTGAGGCACTTAGACATAACCAACAAGACTGAGTTAGGTTGGGCTGTGTATGGTTTAAGACAATGTATGCCCCTTCAATCAAGTTAAAGAGATTAGAATGTGGGTGTGGAGGGATTGCAGTGGATGAAAGGGCAGGGGAGGCATTTAAGATTGGGTTGGTCATTGGGATAA